GTGCTAGTGATAGGGAGCTATACGCTATACCAGGGAGCCTTACTGGCAGTTGTACTGGGGAGTTGGACTAGTACTAGGGAGTTGCACAGGGACTTGCACTAATGGAATTGTGTTACAGTCAACCAGGATAATAAGGAGGCGTGGTAAGGATGCAAGGGCCTCGGAATGCCATGGTGAGGTTTTCCGCGCGGAGCACGGCCGAATTCCGAAGGCTGCAAAGGGTGCCCTGACGCGCCGCCATCCTTGCCGAACTGGCGCCTGGGCCACAGGCAAGGACAGCGCAAGGACGCAAAGGGTACCCCTGGGAGTCGCGCGCCCCTGGTGGCACGGCGCCTCCGTCATGGGCACCTACTGGCAGCGCTATCGTGGTGGCCAAGGAGCCATCCCTGGCCAAGGAGCCATCCCTGGCCAAGGAGCCATCCCTGGCGATGCCCAATGGCTCCTGGCCAAGGAGCCATTCCCGGCCCGCGCTTTCAGACGCAGTCGGAAGGTTCAGGGGCTCCAGTGGCAGCTCGCGCGCGGAGGAAAAAGAGAAATCCATGCGCCGCCAAGGGTCCCGAGTGTAACGGGTCGTCGCGAAGGTTGACCCCCCGCGGAAAGAAGGAAAGAAATCCGGCCAGGGGTTTGGGGGGTTCAGGCATGAGTCGCGGGGCTGATGCCCCCAAGACGCCCAAACCAAGCCTCAAGAGGCCCCCAAGAGACCCCCGAAAGGCCCCCCAAACACCCCAACACCGAATCCGAGAGGCTTCCGGGAGGCCGACCAAAAGATCCCCAAAGGCATCCAAGAGGCCTCTGACCTACAACACAGACAAGGTGACGGGATGAACCGAAAGCCACTAGATATCCTTACGCACCTTCGCTATCTCATTCGGCCAGTGTGCGAAACTTGGGCAACCAATGTGCCTGACGCCAAGCACCAATGTAGTCCTGTGTGCGTAGATAGAATTACATCAGCAATGAAAAGCACAATCATAACACGTACAATCATACTCATAATCATGTTAGTAGTACTCAGAGTAAGGGGGCCGAACGGTCATTCAGTGTCCCTGGGTGCGTGGCTGAATAGGGAACTCGTGCTGAGAATTCTGCCTATTGCGTTGAATGTTACTTACTAAACAATTATTATTCTTGGAACCCCCCCAAGCGCCCTGGCGCTCTCGCCTCGGCGCCGGCAACATTTTCATTGAAAATGAGGCTCACGCTCGAGCGGTTTGGGAGGGCGCCCAAACCGGCCCCCCAACAACAACAACAACAACAACAACAACAACAACAACAACACCAACAACACCAACAACACCAACAACACCACCACCACCACCAACAACAACAACAACAACAACAACAACAACAACAACAACGCTCCCGCTCGAGACTTCCTTTTTTTTTATCAAGGCTGGTGCTCCTGCTCGCCACTGAAAGCCGCCGTCCCAACAAAACCAGCGCTACCGCTCGAGACTTCCTCCCGTTTTGCCTTGGACTGGCGCGCTACTCGTTCTCTCATCGGCGCCGCCCCCAGCAACAACAACGCTCCCGCTCGAGACCTCCTCCCTTCTTTACTCAAAGCGGTGCTCCTCCTCGCCGCCGAAAACCGCCGCCCGGACAAAACCAGCGCTCCTGCCTGAGACTTCCTCCCGTTTTACGCTGGACTGGCGCCCTATTCTGTTTTGAATTGGCGCCGATCCCATCAAGAACAACGCTCCCGCTCGAGGCTTCCTCCCTTTTTCCTCAGGACGGTGCTGTTCCTCGCCGCCGACAGCCCCCGTCCCGACACAACCAGGGCTCCCGCTCGAGACTTCCTCCTTTCTTACTCAAGGCGGTGTTCCTCCTCGCCGCCGACAACCGCCGTCCCACCAAAACCAGCGCTCCCGCTCGAGACTTCGTTTTGCTTTCCGCTGGACTAACGCCCTACTCTCTTCAGCATTGGCGCCGCTCCCAGCAACAACAGCGGCCCTGCTCGAGACTTCCTCCCTTTCTACTCAGGGCCAAGTCCTTGATTCGCCGCCGACAGCCCCCATCCACACCAAGGCAATCATGTCGTTCGATATTTCCTTGTGTTTTACCCTTGGCTGGGGCTCCACTGGCGGTCTCGCATCGGCGCAGCAAGCCGCGGGCATGCGTTTTCGAGGTGGGATGTGTTGGAATTCTTCGGAGGTGTTTGCAAGACCTCATTGGGCGGGATATCTGGGAATGGGAATAGCGGGCCCCGCTATAGAACAATAGTCCACCATGATGGGGATGGTTATCACGATGGTCGCGTGCTTCGTGTGGAAACATCGCGCGCGAGGGTAAACTGATTGTTGTTGCCGTTATCGAACTCTCACTTCTGAAGAATAAGTATTGTTGATCCCCCTCACAGGTACATAGTTGTTTTTTCAGAATCGCAGTGTGCCCCTCGACGCTCGCACTCTGTTTGTGACTGGAAAAGTCTTGATGCTCAAACTGCGCCCCTGGCCCCCGAGTTACAACAACAACGGCTCCCGCCTGAGACTTCCTCACAATTTAGCCAGGACCCCCGCTCCCGCCCGAGACTTCCTCGCATTTGATTTAGGAATCGCGCTCTCGCTGGGGACCTCCTTACAATTTGTTCAAGAATCGCTCTCCTGACGCTCTGGAGTCGCGCTCTCGCCGGAGACTTGTTTGCAATTTACTGATGAATCGCGCCCTTGCGTTTGATTTTTATGCAATTTACTCATGCGCTCCCAACGCCCAGGCACCCAGGAGTCGCGCTCACGCTTAGGACTCTCTCGCAGATTACCCAGGAATCGGGATATCGCTGCCCTTCGTGGCCTCGTTGCAGCCCTTCGTGGCCCCCTCGCTTTGTTTCGTGGCCTCGTTGCAGCCCTTCGTGGCCCCCTCGCCTTGTTTCGTGGCCCCGTTGCAGCCCCTCGCGGCCTCCTCGCTGCCTTTCGTGGCCCCGTTGCAGACCTTCGTGGCCCCCTCGCTTGGTTTCGTGGCCCCGTTGCAGCTCTTCGTGGCCCCCTCGCTGCCCTTCGTGGCCCCGTTGCAGCCCCTCGTGGCCTCCTCGCTGCCTTTCGTGGCCCCGATGCAGCCCTTCGCGGCCTCCTCGCTGCCCTTCGTGGCCCCCTCGCTGCCCTTCGTGGCCCCATATATGTATGCCCTCCGTGACCCCCGCTCGTTCGCGCCCGTGGTGGCCCCATATGCATGCCGTTCGTGGCCCCGCTGTCGCCCTTCGTGGCCCCCTCGCTGCCCTTCGTGGCCCCGTTGCTGCCCTCAGCGGCCCCGTCCTTGCCCTCCGCGGCCCAACATACGCATGCCCTTCGTGGCCCCCGCTCGTTCGCGCCCGTTGTGGCCCCATGTGCGTGCCCTTCGTGGCCCCGCTGTCGCCCTTTGTGGCCCGCTCACTGTCCTACGTGGCCCACTTGCTACCCTCAGTGGCCCCATCGTTGATTTCTGTGGCCCCGCATTATCTGCCCTTCGTGGTCCCCACTCGTTCGCGCTCTTCGTGGCCCCATACGCATTTCTTTCGTGTCCCCGCTGTCGCCCTTCGTGGCCTACTTCGTGTCATTCGTGGCCCTGCTGTGTTCTCTCCCGCTCTCGCTTTCGCTCGTCGTCGTCGTCGTCGCCGTCGTCGTCGTCGTCGCCGTCGCCGTGGCCGTCGCCGTCGCCGTCGTCGTCGTCGTCGTCAGCGTCGTCGTCGTCGTCGTGGTCGGTCCCCTGTCCGTCCCTCCTGGGGTCGGGTCGACGGTCCGCGGCCGCCCCGCCGATCAGCGCTGCCGCTGGCCAAGCCGACGGTCCGCGGCCGCCCCGCCGCTTGCCGGGGCCCGGCCTGCAGGGAACAAAGGTATACCCCCCAAAAGGGGTTCGATCGAAGACGAAGAGGGCGGGTATCGATGGTTTGGGAAATACACGTTATTGGACACTCGAGCAGGTAAGGGCGAACAGTCTTAAACTGATTGTTGTTGTTGCTGTTGTTGTTATTGTTGTTGTCGTTTATGTTGATGTTGATGTTGTTGTTATTGCTGTTGCTGTTGCTGTTGCTGTTGATGTTGCTGTTGCTGTTGTTGTTGTTGTTGTTGTCGTCCCACCCGCGACCCACCCCGCGACCCACCCCGCGACCCTACCTGCGACCCACCCCGCGACCCACCCGCGACCCAACCCGCGACATACCCGCGACCCACCCCGCGACCCACCCGCGACCCACCCGCGACCCACCCGCGACCCACTCGCGACTCACCCCGCGACCCACCCGCGACCCACCCCGCGACCCATCCGCGACCTATCCGCGACCCACCCGCGACCCACCCCGCGACCCACCCGCGACCCACCCCGCGACCCACCCTCAAGGGAGGAGAAACCACACGGACCCGACAATTGACGTTTACTAAACCGCCCTGGGCGCTTACTAAGCAGCCCTGCCCTGTTCGATTCATTCCTTGTACGCATGTACTAAACGGCTTCGCTTGTCGGGGTGATTCTTACGGGGTGGATTTCTGCCCGCTACACCCGCGAGCCACCCGCGACCTACCCACATTGGTTTAACGAAAAAATCGACGCCTGCGGCGGGCTCGTTGCATAATTTGCAAAACTTTGGCGCCTGCGGCGGGCTTCTCCAGACTCTCGAAAATTGCCGACGTCTCCACTGCCCCCTCACTCTTATCCGCATCTGCGGGGTGCTACGTGCGAATACTAGTACTACTAATAAAAATGAAATATTCATAATAATAACAACAACAATAATAATGATCAGACTGCGAATAATCACATTATCGTAGTGACAATCAGGATAATGATGAAAACGAGAGGTTGCGAGTGAAATCGCACGTGTACCCGCCAACTGTGCATCTCGTACGCACGACCCTACTCGGCAAGGCTTTTACCACATACGTTCACACAAGCACACACACACACACACACGCACACACACGCTCCTCATCCCCCTCCCCTGCGCCTCCTCCTGCTCCTCCTCGCAAGCAGTGCCTGCACACGCTTGCCACATACACCTATCGACGGTCGCCAAGCGCCACAAACGATCAGGCATCCTGGCAGTAAGAGTTCCCAAGAAAGCGTTCACCTGCGCTCCGACAACGAGGCCCACCGCGACGATCGTCGCGACCTGCGTGCACCGGTACATGCCCACGCCACCCGGCGGAAACCCTGGGAGCCATCTCGTGTGGAGGGGGAGGGAGGAGCCGGGTCGGTTCGAGTCCTGGGCAGGAAGGGGGGAGCGCAACACCCCAGGCTCGGGCAGACCTTCGGTTTGGCACAACACAAAGCCTGCTTTGTGCTCGTTCCGCAAGGCGGTGGGCCATTGCAGGGCTGCGAAATGACTACCTGAAGGACCCACGGCACCCCACAGGAGCCACTTCGGGGCTCTACGTACTCGGCCAGTGGAGAGGAGGACGACGATGACGATGAGATGAGATGAGACGACTCCCAGGAGGACAGTCCGAGGAGGGAGGGGCCAGCCTACATCAAAATTGTGGGCGGGGTGCACCGTCAGGGGGAGATTTTGAGAGGACGAGAGTGGTGGACACTTGCCACACTCGCCCTCGGCGACAGGTGCACCCGCTCCGTAATTGAAACCTTGCCGCGAGCCTCCTCTCGAGCGCGAGCCCGCTCAAGGAGGCGTGCCATTCGAGCTTCATACGGGATGACACTGTCCGACGAATACTCAACGACTGACTTCGACGATCGGACGTCCCGCGCACTCGCAACAGTGAGACCGACTCGAGGGGCAGGGACGGCTCGGTCGATCAACGCAAAAATTCGGGGATTCGGGGCCAGCCCTCTCCGAAAACGCGACAAAATCATATTGGTGGAAGGGGCGCAGGGTCTGGCTAACTTAATGGCCTTCTCCTGACTCCATCCTCCACACTTCAGACACAGAAGGGAACCCCGTCGAGCCTCACCACTCTCGACTTCGGCACGGCACTGCACGCAGCAGGCCCCAGGGGGACCATGCCGATCGGGAGGCTCCTGCCGAGGGGTGGGGGTGCATGTACATACTCATGTGTGGAACGACTGCATTGGCGCTTCACGTCATGCACATTGATCATTCAAGTTTCGCAAACATGTGGGATGGCGCAGAAAGAGAAGGAGAGAGAGAGAGAGAGAAGAGAGAAGAAAAGTTTACTGTCCCTGTTTCCCTTCTCGTCGTTCTCGTACGTTTCCATGATGTTTTCCTTCGTATCCCTTCCTTCCTCTCCCTTCTTTCTTTTCCTTTTGCCTTTTCCTCTTTCTCGCCCTTCCCTGTGAATCCTTCCCCGTCCTCCTCCTCCTCCTCCTCCTCCTCCTGCTCCTGTTTGTGGAAGTTCCTCCTGCGGTCTCTGGAGGGCATTTTGACGGTTTCTTGGGGGCCTCTGGAGGCCATCTGGGAGCTTGGCGGGGGCCTTTTAGGGGCTTCTTGGAGCCATGTTGCTGCCAACCGCAATCTCCCTCGACGAACGTTGGGCCGTTTGGGTGCTCTCCCGGACTTACTCGGGATACTGTTTCGGTCAATTGTGATGTTATGTTCGGGGCCTTCCGGGCAGTCTCGACTGTCGGGCACGCCATTGGACCAAGTGCTAAGGATTACAATAACAATTGTCGACGAGCACGAAGGTAACCAACGTTGGCCCCAAACGGTGTGTTTCAACAGTCGAGTGGCGCAATGAGGATGGCGAGATGTACGCGAAGCCATATACATTGCGCAATATGCGTGGTGCATCCCATGTGGTGCGATATATGTTGTGCCATTTATGTTGTGGAATACAGGTCGTGAAATGCATGGTGTGCAATCTATGTGGTACTCTCTGTTGGGCAATGTCTGTGGAACAATCTCTATGGTGCAAGCCACGTGGTACAAATTATGTGGGGCAAGCTACGTGGTGCAATTCACTTGCCAAACTTGAAATTGTCACTTCAACTGATCGCGCAATCATCCCACCCACACACCCGCAACTCGGTTTGCAAAACCCATGCGGAAGCGATTGCGATGAATGCTTGGTTTTGGCTGGTGCATTTCTGCGGCCGCGCTTGCCCTCGCATGCTCGCGCACGCAGCGGCCAGCTACTTTGGCGCGACCGACGCAGCCGCGGTGGCGCTGACCGCTCGGCACATCCCAGCGGGCACTCCAGTGCGAGTCGGCGACTTGGGCGGGCACGATATCAACGCAACGTCGACAACGGCACACACGATCATGATGGTAGCGATGCTGGTGACGATGCTGACAACGACGACGGGGCAGCCAGTGACGGCGCGGATGCTGATCACGCCGGCGACGATGACGGCGCATTTGCGTCGGTGATGAAGGTTTCTGAAGGAATCCCACCAGCCCTTTGGGCGTGAGTGGTTTAGCGAGCTTTCTTTGTCCTCAACCCCCCAACCCCCCTTCTTCCCCTTCGGGGAGGGGTTTACCCCTCCCCCTACCCCCTCCCCCTGGACCTGGAGAGGGCGGGCCGAGCGTCGTCAGGGCGGTCTTTTTCGACTCCTGGGAGGGCTAAAAAACGACGACCCTCACGAGGATTCTGCCCCCGACGGGGGGACGCACAGAGAACCCTCTCCTCTTCTGTGAAGCCAAAATCATTGATTTTACTACGGTTTCGGCCCAGTTTTGGCCTTCTGAGGGGGCAGCGCTCCTCTTCCTTGTTCTCAAAATCATTGATTTTACGAAGGTTTTGGGCTCATTTTGTCCTTCTCAGGGGGTAGCGCCCATTTCCGCTTCTGCGGAGGTCGCAAGAGGCCCCGAAGAGGCTCCAAGATGCCCCCAGGAGGCTCCCAAGAGGCTCCCAAGAGGCTCCCAAGAGGCCCCCAAGAGGCCCCCAGAGGCTCCCAACAGGCCCCCAAGAGGCACCCAAGAGGCCCAAGAGCCCCCAAGAGGCCCCCAAGAGGCCCCCAAGAGGCCCCCAAGAGGCCCCCAAGAGGCACCAAGAGGCCCCCAAGAGGCCCCCAAGAGACCCCACGAGGAGCCCGAACGACTCACACCAGGACGAGGGGCCCGAACGACTCACACCACGAAGAGCCCGAACGACTCACACCACAATGAGGAGCCCGAACGACTCATACCAGGACGAGGCGCCCGACCCATTCACACCACGAGGAGCCCGAACGACTCACACCACGACGCGGGCCTCGAACGACTCACACCACGAGGAGCCCGAACGAGTCACACCAGGAGGAGGGGCAGCGCTCATACAAGCCCCCCAAGAGGGCCCCCAGAGGTCCACCATATGGCCCCAAGAGGTCCCCAGATGGCCCACAAGAGGTCCCCAGGAGGCACCACGACGCCTCCATGAGGCCCCAAAGATACCCCCAAGAGGTCCCCAAGAGGCCCCAAGAGGCGCCGAAGACGCCCCAAGAGGCCTCCGAGCAGCTTCCAAAAGACATCTACTACTACTTTTTCCCCTACGATTACTACTACTTGTACTTCTACTACTACTCATACTCGTTTCACTACACTACTGGAAATACCACTACTACTACTACTACTACTACTACTACTACTACTACTACTACTACTACTACTACTACTACTACTACTACTACTACTACTACTACTACTACTACTACTACTACTACTACTACTACTACTACTACTACTACGACTACTACTACTACTACTACTACTACTACTACTACTACTGTACTACTACTACTACTACTACTACTAATAGTACTACTACTACTACTACTACTACTACTACTACTACTACTACTACTACTACTACTACTACTACTACTACTACTACTACTACTACTACTACTACTACTACTACTACTACTACTACTACTACTACTACTACTACTACTACGACTACTACTACTACTACTACTACTACTACTACTACTACTACTACTACTACTACTACTACTACTACTACTACTACTACTACTACTACTACTACTACTACTACTGCTACTACCACTACCAATACTACAACTGATCCTACTGGTACTACTTCTACTACTACGACTAGGAGCCGAAGAGGAGGAAGAGGAGGAGGGAGAGAAGGCGATGGGAGGCAAGACAGAAGGCGGTCGTTCACCAGTCCTACACGTAACCGACTCTGTCGACTCACACGACGGCGACGTCCTGGACCAGAATGCATGTGGTGTGCGTCGTTGGGGCCCCTCGCCCTGGTGTGAGTCGTTCGGGCTCTTCCTTGTGTGAGTCGTTCGGGCCCCTCGCCGAACGACTCACACATCGAGGAGGGGCCCGAACGACTCTGACCAGGAGGGGGGACCCGAACTACTCACACCAGGAAGAGGGGCCCGAACGACTCACACCACGAAGAGCCCGAACGACTCACACCACAAGGAGGAGCCCGAACGACTCATACCAGGACGAGGCGCCCGACCCATTCACACCACGAGGAGCCCGAACGACTCACACCACGACGCGGGCCTCGAACGACTCACACCAGGACGAGGCGCCCGACCCAGTCACACCACGAGGAGCCCGAACGACTCACACCACGTCGCGGGCCTCGAACGACTCACACCACGAGGAGCCCGAACGAGTCACACCAGGAGGAGGGGCAGCGCTCATACAAGCCCCCCAAAAACCATATGGCCCTAAGAGGTCCCCAGATGGCCCACACGAGGTCCCCAGGAGGCACCACGACGCCTCCATGAGGCCCCAAAGATACCCCCAAGAGGTCCCCAAGAGGCCCCCAAGAGGCCCCAAGACGCCCCCAAGAGGCCCCACGAGGAGCCCGAACGATTCACACCAGGACGAGGGGCCCGAACGACTCACACTACGAAGAGCCCGAACGACTCACACCGCAAGGAGGGGCCCGAACGACTCATACCAGGACGAGGCGCCCGACCGACTCACACCACGAGGAGCCCGAACGACTCACACCACGACGCGGGTCTCGAACGACTCACACCACGAGGAGCCCGAACGAGTCACACCAGGAGGAGGGGCAGCGCTCATACAAGCCCCCCAAGAGGGCCCCCAGAGGTCCACCATATGGCCCCAAGAGGCCCCAGATGGCCCACAAGAGGTCCCCAGGAGGCACCACGAGGCCTCCATGAGGCCCCAAAGATACCCCCAAGAGGTCCCCAAGAGGCCCCAAGAGGCGCCGAAGACGCCCCAAGAGGCCTCCGAGCAGCTTCAAAAAGACATATACTACTACTTTTTCCCCTACGAGTACTACTACTTGTACTACTACTACTCATACTCGTTTGACTACATCATCTCGTACTACTATAACTACAACTACTCTTACGACTACTACCATGTCCACTCGTACTACTATTTGTCCTACTACCACCACCAACCACCACCACTACTACTACTACTACTACTACTACTACTACTACTACTACTACTACTACTACTACTACTACTACTACTACTACTACTACTACTACTACTACTACTACTACTACACTACTACTACTACTACTACTACTACTACTACTACTACTACTACTACTACTACTACTAC